TATATATAAGTGAACATTGAAGTCAACACTCAGAGGCAACAAACTGTTTCATGCTAGACGCAATCGTCAGGCCGACTTAAATGAGTGTTGACTTCAATGTTCACTTTTATATTTATATTTACATACGCTCTATCTCTGATATTGAGCACTTTATCCCATAAATATAGCACACCTTAAAACTATATTTCTTCATATATATATATATATATATATATATATATATATATATACAGCTAGATAGGCACAGAAATGTGCTCATATACAGTTGGGGGGCGCTACAAAAGTAAGTTACACCGGAACTCGAACCCATAGACTTCTTTTTCTAGGGATTAAAGGATATTTTGTTTACTGTATACCTATTTTAGCAGCTCTCTCTCTCTCTCTCTCTCTCTCTATATATATATATATATATATATATTGTACCTCTTTCGTAGCTTGCGATGTCGTTATATCTAATACAGAAATGTGCCTAAATTCTACAACAAATTTATGTCACAAAATGAGATTTTAATTTTGGTTTTAGGAAGCTTACATTCCATATTGACCTTACGTCGGTATAGGCCCGGCTTTGATGTTACAAAAAGTAATGACTTTGTCATATGGACGACTACTCCACCTCGCACGGCAATGTGATGGCCAGATGCTGACGTCATATGTCATGCAAAGCGAACGCAATTGCACCGGACTTAAGAAAGAGAGAGAAAAAGAATAACAAGCATTCTCATTAATTTTATTCTTTATTTCAAGACCGTTGGATTCACACATATATATATATATATATATATATATATATATATATACACACACCGGTTGGAACTACAAATTTTTCCAAATAGTCACACTCACTGTCTTCCGAACTGAGCAATGGGGAGAGGATAAAGATCATTAAGTCCTTCAGTAATGGTACCAACATTCATACTCTGGCTTCCATCTTGAAAGTCCATTCAAGAACGATTAAGAGAAGGCTGAATAAGTTTAGAAAAGAGTGAACAGTAGAGAGGAAAAGTGGATCAGGAGGTCACAGCAGGAAAAGGGATCATCATTTCCACTTACAGATTAAGAGAACAATTAGAGAAGATCCAACTCAACCCATACGACGTTTGGCACGTAGAAGAGGAGTTTCACCTATGACAGTCCAAAGAGCAGTCAAAAAAGACTTGAAATTCAAATTGTACGCGAAACCTGTGAGGCAATTTGTAACAAGACATGAAATTAGAAGTTTAGAGAGGGCAAAGATAATCTTCAATAAGATGAGATATTAACCTTGAATAACATATATATATATATATATATATATATATATATATATATATGTTTTATTTCAATACTTCATGAGCTTCCGATCCTTAACTATGATTAATTAATGATGAACATATCATTTTTGTTTATGATCGATTTAATCACGATACTTCTGTTAAGGTGGACGCCAACTTGCCAGGGAGGGACCCACACACTTGAATTCATGACCTCCCTCTGCGACACTTATGGAATGAAACATACAGAATTCAGTTATGAAACTGCAACGTACTGCCGCTAACTCTGTTATAATTTCGAGTGGCGCCTGCTGTAGCATGTCCGTAATGCGTAGCCCTCTTCCATCGCTGGTTCAACCGTCGAAATCTGTTGTAATTATCATCCGCTTGTTCCACAGTTGTGCCCTTTGGGGTTGGTCGCACTTTGTCTGGGTCCTCGTCAGGAGTTAATAAACCGCATTCTTTTTGTGCGGCCTCGTTCCCAATACTCGTCACACATGACGTCACGCTGGCTAAACCATTTCAAACGTTCAGCTTTCCAAAGAATAACAGAATGCAGGCACCACATCGGTTCTTGGTAATGACTGCGAAAGTCGAAAGTACTTGGACAAAGCTAGCAAAATATAAACTTTGGACAGTTTATCTACAACTTCGAACACAATACGCAATACCTTATGCGAAAATTGGAAAAATGGAAAAATATTATAAAAGATTAAACAGACAGACCTTGTCGATTCTTTTTAACCAAACTTGTTTGTATATATATATATATATATATATATATATATATATATATATATATAATATGCAGTGCATAATTATATGTGCAGGATGTGTCTGTTTGGTCGGTTATTTTTGTTTCTAAGAAATTCTTATTTCAAATCTAATGCAAGTCAATTTACATAAAAATCTGTTTAAATGTAGTTGTGATCTGAGATAGATAGATAGATAGATAGATAGATAGATAGATAGATAGATAGATAGATAAATTACATAAACACATATGTTCTTCAAAATATATACATTTATTTACTCAAGAAAAAACTTCATAATGCAAATTGCATATGAGCAAACATTTACTTTTAACACACGGGCATTTAATAAATCGACACAATTTTTTATGCAAGGATATATTTATACAGTCATATAAAGTCGCATGATGCAAAAAAAAAATCGTCATCTTGCGGCCTCAGCCGAGATTGAACTCACTACACCTTTCCAGTATTCCTTAGCTGTCATAGCTCCTAAAAGATTTTCCTTAGGGATCAATGTGTCTTGTTTTATCCTATCTGGAAAGGTTGACTTGCGTGATCGATTGTCAGATGATGGGTGCCTCCAGAGTACAAATGATGACACAAGTTCATCTGTGGCACGTGCACAATGCCCGGCGAACTGGACACGTCTTTTGCAAACTAAGGTTGATACTCTCGGCAAGTCTCCATATATCATTTCTAGAGTTGGGTGGTTTCGCCATGAGAGATTAAGCACTCTTCTTAAAAGACGCGTATAACATCCATCTAAACGGCGCTGTTGTTTTGCTGAGAGAGTCCAAGTTTCAGAGCCATAGAGTAAGATTGGCTCAATAAGTACGCGGAAAAGTTGGATTTTGAATTGACGAGCAAGATTGGATTTCCAGATCTTATCCATTTTATTACAAGCAGTCCTTGCTATGCCTTTTCTAATGCAAAAAAGGAGATCGTGGAACAACACGAGGAAGAGATAGACCAACTCGATATTACAGACAAGTTCCCAAATAGAGACACAACGTTCCTAGTAAACAATTCCTTGAAATGTTTTACTTCACGCATGCGCATATGTACGTGCGTGTAACAGTAAGATTGAATGCCTGTATGAGAATATATATGCATGTAATCATTTTCCTCACACGCGAAAATAATTTATTTTACATTTGCTAATATATTTGACATAGTACATGCTAAATTATTAAATACATATCACGAATGAAATATCCACACGCATTAACAGATATATTTAATCTCCCGATGAATGACTTATACGTAAGTACAATAAATCCGTAGTTTAATAATAGAAAAGCATTTCTTTTACCCTCAAAATGTGTATGTTGCAGCATAAACGTCTACCTTGTCAATTCATTTCAAAATTAATCACATACCTTGAACATTATAGAGGAAAGATTAAAGATAAATATTTAGGTAGTTACTGTCTCGGGTGACGGAATTATTGATCCACCTTCGTACATACATATACATAGTCACTCTCTCTCTCTCTCTCTCTCTCTCTCTCTTTCAATACACACACACACACACACACACATATATATATATATATATATATATATATATATATATATATATATATATATACATATGAATAATATATATATGCGTGTGTTTGTATGTGTGTATGTATGTAATAATGTATGTATAACTGTCCACTCGTATTTGACGATACCCGTCTGCTAGGAGGGCCAGACAATCCCTATTGCAGATGCTTGCTAAGGTGCATTTTTGTTTATTAAACACCCACAGAGCCCACCTGTGGTTTATACTGCAACTATGCTGAGCAGACCTCAGTTACAGTTTCTGGGAAAGAGCGTGTTATCTAGCGTGATCGACAAGGCCAGCACGCTCAAGCCCTCGGCCACGATGACTTGTGACTTCGTGCTAGCACAGCGTGTGGCACCATTGGAAAGTGCCTGAAAACCATCCCACGCTTGATCCAAGCCTTGTGAGTAAAATTGGATAGACGGAAGCCTTTGGAAGTCGTCGATATATATATATATATATATATATATATATATATATATATATATATATATAATGGGTATCTATATATATATATAATGGGTATATATATATATATATATATATATATATATATATATAGAGAGAGAGAGAGAGAGAGAGAAAGAAAGAAAGAGAGAGCTGTGTAGACACTGTGATAGATAGATAGATAGATAGATAGATAGATAGATAGATAGATAGATAGATCAATTGCAAAAGATAATCAATAATATTTTTTCTGTTCCTGGCGCGTATATATATATATATATATATATATATGTGTGTGTGTGTGTGTGTGTTTGCGTGTGTGTGTGTGTGTGTGTGTGTGTGTGTGTGTGTGTGTGTGTAATTTATTGCATGCCTGTTTATTTACCCACTGATTTACCCCCAGAGTTTCCGCCCCCAACCTTCTGTTTGTCCGAATCGTCTCAATAGCAGATAACAACTTTAAGACTATTAAGGATTTTCCAGATGTTATCAAAAGTTTTCTCTGATAAGAAAAAGTGGAACACGAGTCTCCGATTACAAGTTTCACTCGCAATATTCACTCTAAAAAAAAAAACCCCTTTAGGATAATCTGTCTGGGTGGCGAAACAGTGGTACGAGCAATGGGTGGGGAGCGTAGAGAAACACGGCGGTGAACACTGAGTGGCGGTTGGTTCAAATAAAGATAGAGAAATCCCATATTGAATGAGGACATTTCGACTCATCTGTCACATTGATAAATCCCAAATAGCGCTGGAGATGAGAAGAACCGTCAAAATTCTTTTTATTAAATCCATTTACTCACAAAAAAAAAATCGACCTTGGAGAACTTGGGGTTGACCCGGGTGTCGATATTCTTGTTTTAATGTAAAAACAGTGAAAAGCGCGGGGTTCTCTTTCTAATGGCAGGAGAGTCAGGTAGCTAGATATAGTAATAAGGTATTAAGAATTGTATTAGTATGCTAAAGTACAAGTACTTACTTATAGGCTTACAGACACACCACGTTGAAACACCGGATCCTTTACTATCACCGAAGTTAAGCAACATCGAGCCTGGTCAGTACGTAGATGGTTGACCGCTTGGAAATACCAGGTGCTGTAAGATTGGATGTGCGGGTGGTGTAATGCACAATCACTTAGAATTGATAATCAGAGACACAAGTTCCAATACCCGTTGGGTTCGTTATATTCACTTATATTCACGCGTAAATACCATTGGGAAGGTTATGAATCCACCAGCCAACTATGTGTTAATTAGTAAATTACTAATTCTGCCAATCTAAAAATATTTTCTGGCTGCAAAGCGTTCATAAGAAAACGAACCAATCAAACGCGTGTGCGCGCACACACACACACACACACAAAAATATATATATATATATTTACTTGACGCCCCACCGAGTCAGGATGTGACACAAGGTCGGTTTTAACGTGGGGAACCCGTGTGTTTCCACTCGGGCCACTGGTCTTAGCTGGTCATAGCTTGTCCAAGCTGGTCAGAGCTGGTCTAAGCTAGTCATAGCTGTGATACTACCAGCAAAAGGGCTGGAGCACAGGTGCCAGGTAGCTTAGATAAATTCTTTTCAATTGTAGTCGTTATTGAGTTGGTAGGTTATTGAATTATGATCGTCATTTTAGGTGTTACAATTTAATTCCCAGAGTCGTCCTATGAAAGCAAAGTTTTCTTACCTGGTTACTATTGGCTGCCGTCACCTTCAAAGTAAAAACTATGTATTTCGTGTTATTGCTGAAAACATCCTTAGAAATCGTTTTCCAGAATACATTTCAGAAAAGTAGTCACATGTTGCTGGATGTCAGTAAATTTTTGTTCTTTCATGATATTTTTTAATTTTCGAAATAGACAAAAATCCCAGGTGGTGGCTAAGTCAGTTGAATAAGGAGGATAAGCCATTTTTGTAGTGGATTTCTTAACCAAGAATTCCTGAACTTCCAACGCATGATGCGAAGAAGCCTTGTCATGTAGAATTCACTTGGCAGGCCAGTGTTCAGGATGTTTCTTACGAACAGATTCTCTTAAGCCTTTCAACCCAAATAAACATGTTAATTGATATTTTGTCTTTTTCTTCATAAATTCTAATAATTATACGCTTATAATCAAAGAAAAACAAAAGCAGGGTCCTTTTTCGACCGGAGTGAATTCTTTGTTTTCCACTGTATGCTCTGGTGTCTTGTTTACGAGTCGTATTGAAAGCACCTTGTTTCATTACCGATAATGAACTTATCAAACATTTCAGTATTATTTACATTCGAGCTAATGTTCCTCATTTTTGTTATTATTATCATAACGTTTCGGTCTTTTTGTCTTCTGGCCTTCTTCAGGTGTCTGTTGATTCGAGTAAACTTGAAGGGATTTTGTGCTGAAACCTTTATTTAATCTACAAGGGTAGATTGTTCTCGTTACGGTGTTCATATCTAGGTACATCTCGCTTTGTTTTTATCTAGTACCACTCAGTGCTCTGTCTATTTCCACTAAGTCTGTAATACATGGCTTGGGAATTGAGTCTGTAAGACCTGGCTTGGGAATTGAGTCTGTAATTCCTGGCTCGGGGATTTCACTCACAATCACTATACCAATATTCATTATTCAAAAGATCAAATGAAATAGGAAGCCTTCTTCAGGATCTGCCGTATTGGGTAAGCTTCTCAAAATTTCGAACCGATCTCTTTATTCAATATACAGAGGTATACTTTAAGTAATATGATATATTTCCTGACACGGACAGCACAATAAGAAGTCTAATCTCATGGAATGAATAAAGGATTCACTTTGAAAATTTGAGAACGTTATGGAATACAAGAGACATCTGAAGAAGGCAAGAGGGAACAAAGGGTGAGATATTGTGATTATAATAATAGCCAAGATGAGAATATCAATTCAAATCAATTAGTGTATAATAACCTTTGTTTGTATTGGAACCTGATTTTGTCACATTCGATATTTTTATTCGATAACCGAGAACATTCTAATACCAAAATTCAAATACACTAGCAATGGACGTTTGTTTACTATTGTTAATCATTTTAATTAATTTTTACTTTAATTTCAGATTTTTAGATTTTTTTTATAACTATACCGTCTATGTAAGGCAGTCTATAGATAGAGTATGATCAGGAAATTGGATGAAGTTATTATGGCTTGTATTTACTTTAATGTTATTTTTACTTGTTTGTTTTTTATTTACTTTGATCGTATTTTTTGCTTGTTTTTTTATCTCAATTTTTACTCAGACCGCCGATCTAAGGCAATGAATAGACAGCGCTAGATCGGAAAGAAGTTACTCACTTGCTTCAGAGAAACTTTGTTGAATTCACCAACTTCTCAAAATGACTGAGCTGGAAAAAATTAGTTGCAAATAGTCAAAAATTAATTATGGTGATAATGGTTGACAATGATTCATGTAATAATGTTTCAGTCAAATGTTCGTTTTTTGGAAATGTATTTTTAAAAATTTTATGAAGACAGAATTGTAGAATTTTTCATTATAATTTCGTTTTTAATCATGTGTATTTTGTTATAACAACGCATGACTGCATGTGTGTCTTGTAAAGAAGAAATATTTTAATTAATTCATTAATTCATTTCATTAATAAATATATTTCTTTTTTTTACCAGCATTCCTTTACTTTAACTATCGAAGCCTGGCATGATAAATTGGGGAATCGAACACTTCGAGGTAGGTTTGTTTCTTCTTCTTCTTCTTCTTCTTCTTCTTCTTCTTCTTCTTCTTCTTCTTCTTCTTTATGGAGTTTAACTTACTTTAGTATGACACAAGGTTAATTATTATGATTATTTACTATTTACACAGTTCGTTAAATTTCACGTTAGCATTTCGATCATGAGACTCCGGTTCGAAATTCACCGGCGTCGATTTGTCAGCGGTAAGTAATTAATACATTTGTTATTACATTGTTGAAATAATGAAAAAGGATTGCTAATAATTTTACCCTACAAAAGCATTGTGAATAATTTTATTTTAGAAATACTTTAAAAATTAGAAAATGATTGTCAATGGTTAAGAATTAATGCAGCAACATCCTGGATTGACTGGACTTATTTCGGGGAATTTTTTTTTCAAATCAAAGCTTATGACTTTGTTCTTTTGATTGGAGGAAATTGGAAACATCTGAAATAGTCAGTAGTCAGTCACTTTTACTAAAGGATTGAAAGTAGGTTTTGAAGATACAAAATTTCGTTTAAATATAACCACAAAATTTCCAAATATAGAAATCGGAAAATTACTTTCTCAAGACTATCACCTAAATCTCTGAAAAAACTAGTTAACCGGATGCTATGTCTTTATATGAAAATAGCATACTGTTCAATATCTAGAAAGCCGGAAGGTGAAAAGACCGACGCCGTGAAAGAGTAAAATACAATAATAATTGTATAGCTAAAAATTCGTACCTGAAAACGTTCTATTAATAGTAAGGACTATGCCATTAAAGACTAATATTTGAAAACGGTAAGTATTATGCCCTTATTCTTGACGACATTTAGAAACCAGTTCGGTTGATTTTACATTTTCTGAGTTATTTTATCTTCATTTTTTTTTTTTTTTTTTTTTTTTTTTTTGTATGGAGTACATAGAGAGGCGCGAACTCACTGCTCAGGGTCAAAGAGGCTAACCCTTGCCAATTATAGACCTATACCGAAACGTCCTGCGAGAAAGTGACACTCTTTCTGATTATAAACTTGATGAAAGATGTAGAATGGAATAGCTGAAAAATTGATGCAAAAAATACTTTCTGAATAGTTCTTGAAATTACAATAGCTCAAAATAATACGGCGAGGTGTCAAAAAGTATTTAGTGTTATTTAATGCCGAATTTTGTAACTAAGAAATGATTGAACACGCTACTAATAGTTAACCAGGCTATTGTTGTTAATCAATTATTACTTCACGCCAAGTCGTTAGGCTCACTAACTTTCCGTATCTTGCCTTCAATATGCCCCGGATTAAGTTTTCCAAGCTCTCCTTCCTCATTAGGTGTCCAAGAAATTTCAGTTATCTTTTCCTGATTCTGAATATAATTGTTCTTTCTGTTATCGTTTTCTTTAAGAGTTCCTTGTTGCTCGCTCCGTCCGTAAAATTTTAACTATCTTTCTGTAGAATTGTATTTCTGCTACCGCTAGTTTTTGTCTCATCATTGGGGAGATTGTCCAACATTTACTGTCATATAAGAGGATGGATATCACATAACAATCCAGCACTCTTTTTCCTTGTTTCTTTATTTAATAATGTTCGTTTTTCTCTTTTCAGATCCCCGCTACATGATCCAACGGGTAGTGGCCACAAATATTGTCCGACCGTCAGCCCAGTGGAGTACAACCGTCATGCGCTCCAGCATCACTAAAATGAGTTTTGATTATCACGTGATTTGCGATGAAAATTATTATGGAGACGAGTGTGACCGTTTCTGCAGAGCACGGGACGACCAATTTGGGCATTTCACTTGTAACAAAAATGGAACCAGGAAGTGTATCGAAGGATGGAAAGGGGAATATTGTGATGAAGGTAAATTCTACTTACAATATTAGTCTTCTGCATGGATTTTTTTTTCTTTTGATGTTGTTTTAAAACTTTTGCGTGATTTCCATTTAAAATTCAACAACAAAAATAGGCTTCACTTACACTATTTATAGTGTTCGGACTATCATCCTCATCTTTGTTGCCGTATTTATCACAACGTTTCGGCCGTTGTACGGTCCGGCTTTCTTCAGCTGGTTGGAATATCGAACTGAACCCTTTATTTCGCTCGCTGGGGTAGACTGTTCTAGTTCCACGTGCCATGTCTAATGGATGTCAGTTATCAGTTATCTCCTGTTAATCCCCCTCTCCAAGTTCTCCACCACCTTAACTAGGTATTGAACTCACATTCTTTGGGTCCTGTCACTGAATCTAACTCACGCCTGTATCCACTGTGCCATGTGTCCTTGAGGCTTCACTTAGTTCACTGTCGACATAACCCATAAAATACACTTAAAACGCTCCATATCTAGGCTTCAGCTGCACAATACTTACTTTCCAGCCCTGTTAGAGTTCAGTATCGTTTACGCGGTCTTGGGAAATACTAATTTCCA